GGGGGGGGGGTAGAGGCTAGCATTTGAAAATGTTGAAAATATACGCTGACGCATGACAACACCTAGACACTACATGGATAAAATCGTCCTTTGAGTTTGCTCGTAGGTTCCGCGGGGTTAGTCACTCTTACTAGCTTAGGTTGTGCACGTCTTTCCATACTGACGATTTTCACTAATTTTTTTTTAAACGTCTTGACAATTTATGTTTCGTTTGTCTGCTTGACAACTCATGTACTTGTCATCTTGACAGTCCGTGTTCGTATCTTGATAATTCGTTCAAGCGTTGCTAGCTTGAGGGAAGGAAGCTGTAAGATTCGAACAAGATGAATGGTTCAGAGAACCGACACGTTGATAAATTAGACACATGTGCAACTCTTGGGTATCTTTATTGAGGAAACGTTTCGCCACACAGTGGCTTCATCAGTCCATACAAAGGAGAAACGTGAAGAACAGGAGGAGAATGAGGTAATCAGTCCCTCAACCTTGAGTCGATGTGGTCAGTCCATCAATCTTGAATAGAATTCTATTCTATTCAAGATTGATGGACGTTTCCTCAATAAAGATACCCAAGAGTTGCACATGTGTCTAATTTATCAAGATTCGAACAACACATTGACCCAAGAAATCACTCTTTGATCTCTACGGTAAAACCAATACAATTTTACCGTGCCAGCTTGACATTTCGTACTAATATTAAGTTGCTCCATTATCTATATAGAGTTTCAATATGTTTAATTCATTAATTTTATGCGGGTTGTTTAATGATTACTCACGGAATCTTAATAACACGATTGCACTGGTTTATGAGTTTGACTCACCTGGCATGGGTTCAAACCCCAGCCATTCAGAGACTTGATGAAATTAAGACACATGTGCAACATCTGGGTATCTTTATTGTAGACGTTTCGCCATCCAGTGGCTTTATCAATACAAATTCTAGAACATAGCTAGAAGACAGTAGGACTACAATAAAGATACCCAGATGTTGCACATGTGTCTTAATTTCATCTTGTCGGTATTATATACCATTCTTGCACAACATTCAGAGACTTGTTTAATAATCACTTAGCATTTGTGAAATTCAGTGACTTACACGACTTGTGGGTGAGTAATTATAACTTTTTGCTCAATATTTTAGAACACTTTACAGGTACATACATTAAGACAAGAGCTTACAAAAACAAAGATTTACTCTGGAGAAATAACTTGATTGCTTAGGCTAGTGGGGGCGGTACAGTATATTTCTGTATGGTTGATATCATTTATTAATAATATACATTAAGGTAGATATGGAGAAATAGGATCGTACATGAACCGAATTCTGACTGCCCCAAATGTCATGACATTCGGTGTTACTTCTTCCAGTCTCGTGATGAAATTCATAAAAGAAAAATGGCGACAGACATTATCATTAATATAATCCATAGTTCGTATTCGTATTGGATCGTATAAGAACGAGGGTGTGCCGTATGTCCACCGATGTGCATTTATCGTCGAAGTACAGGGCAATTTTTCGATAATTATATTGTTTTATTATTTATTCTCTGGAATAAAACTTATGATACCTGTACACTACCTCTAAGGCTCTGCGTGGGCGTAATGAGAGCTGTGTGGGCGTGTGTCTTAGAGGTGGGCGTGGTCACTTGGATCGTCTACGGTTCCGATCTCCCTCTAGACATTTCACTATCGAAGGTAAAATAAAGTGACGGATTTTCGAAGTTACATTACATTATTATTATTATTATTACTATTTTTATTCCATCTTGCATTGATTGTCCTATTTTTTCCGATTAATATTTGCAGCTATACTTAGTGTACTCACCTATATAGTTAGTGTGTTTGCCAGGACGGTTACAGGACAAGAAATGAGAGTCTGGTCGTCTCCTTAAACCAAGGTGATTTCGTCGACGGCAGCAGCAACATCCATGGACCCCAGAATGGGAGCAGGGAAGTACGAGACATTCTTAGTTTACGCGACAGCAGTCAAGAACGGGTCGCCTTCCAGCAGCGGCAGAATTCGAAGCTGGAGGGGAGATTAAGTCAACTCAAGTTTATCAACAGTAACATGGCGAATGGAGTGCGGTGGGCGCGTGACACCAGGGACCTAAGTGCAAGGTGTTGTAAAGTTTTATCAACTACTGTAGCTTAACCTTGTATCGCGTCAAGTAACTACACTAGCTTGCAGTCTCCATGAACTATAGTAAAGTTGTGTAGCATATACAGCTACAGTAGCTTATAACCTCGTATTGCAGGTTGCACAATAATTCACACCCTAATATTGTGGAACATGCAGTGGCTACAACCTTGTATTGTAGTGCTATCCTTGAATATCATTAAGGTAAACATGGCTCTGAAACCAAAATATGACAAACGAGCACTGCAGCAGATCTAATTGATGCTCAGCAGCCTCTTATCTGTGACACAATTCTCACTCAATATGTCAAACACACGATTAAAGTAAATAAACAACCCAGGACTTTGTTTACAGGCCAGTGGACTGTGCAGACTTGATGGTGATGGGAGCTGAACGCAGCGGAGTGTACGATATCTACCCTTTTACGTGAGTGTTATTATTATTATAGTCTAAGGGAAGATAATTATATATAGCTTTAGAAAAGGAAGATCCTACCTGTTGCAGCTAGTAGGACACTATGACACAATCTCAGAAACATTATGAAAAACCTAGGAATAATCACATTAGATGACTAACAATTTAGAGAGCACAATAAAGCAGCTGCACTCAAGGCCAAAAAAAAATAACATGTTGAAGTAAGAGAACTTTCGAAACAAGTACACCTGTTCTTTTATTTCAACAGATGCAACTGTAGAAACAAGGTGCAGGTGTGGTGCGACATGGAGACGGACGGCGGAGGATGGACAGTATTCCTAAGCAGACAAGCAGAGAACCCACGGGAAGACTTCAATCGGTCGTGGGCTCAATACAAGAAAGGGTTTGGCGACCGTTCCGAAGAGTATTGGCTCGGTATGTAGCAGTCTGAGGAAGTCGGGAGAGAAATAGACCACACTAGTCCAAATAGGTAAAACTGGTCAATTAGCAAGAACTCATTTAAAATTAAGTCCTTTCTAAAATTTCCTCTTATACGTTTAAAGATATATGTTTTTCATTTATGCTAATTGTAAAAATTAATAATTTTGTACCAAAAGGACCTTGAAAAACTTACCTAACCTTATTATAACAAGCGCAATTTAATTTAGCCTAATCCAACTAAATATATTTAGACAAGTTTACAATAATTTATTAATAAACAAACACACTGAATTATATTTTTTTGTTAGGTTCAGAATGATTTTTGCGAAATCATTGCATACACAAATTTTCGCTTGCCTTATTCGGCAAGAAGAGCGTTGTAAAGTAAAAGGACACAAGTGCAACTAATGTGACATTTATTGTGGCAACGTTTCGCTCTCCAGGAGCTTTATCAAGCCATTACAAACAATACATGGACACAGAGGTATATAAAGGCTCAGAGTGAGGTGAATACTAGTGAGGTACCATTTCGATGTTCACTAGTGGTAGTAGTAGTAGTAGTAGTGGTAGTGACAAAAGTAATACAATATGGTAGAGCAATTAATTCGTACATGAGTAAAAGGATATAAAAGCTATTACTTGGGTAACATAAAAATAGGTTGGACAAATATAGACTGGAATGAGCAGGTTGTTTCAGTGTTCACTCTCTGTGCTTTGTGTAGTATAACAGGAGAGACTATGTGATGGCAGGGTTTACTGTTTTCAGGAGGATTCTTGCTAAGACTTCGGAGATGGTGAAGCTGCCGTTGTTTTGTTTAATTGTATTCGAAACAGCGATCAGTGCTGATTCAAGGCACTTGCGTGTGCGGAAATTAGTTTCTTTTATCACTAATTGGGCGTCTCTGAATTTCATAAGATGATTGGTGGAATTTCGGTGTTGTACACAGGCGTTGTTTAAGTTGTCGTTCCTACATGCGTATATGTGTTCATTGAGGCGGGTGTCGAGGTTTCTTGCTGTTTCACCTACGTAGATCTTGTCACAGCCTCCACAGGGTATGTGTAAACTCCTGCATTGACTGGTTCGTGGTGCTTGGGTTTTGTCCTGGTTAGATCCTTTATTGAAGTGGTAGAAGCGATGGCGACTCTGGTGTTAGCTTGTGAAAGTACTTTTGAGACGTTAGTGCAACCTGGCTGTTGGGAAGAATTATGACTTTGTTGGGAGCGGTGTTGATGCGTGGAGATTTGATGATCTGAAGAGCTCTTTTCTTGCAGTCTTTGATGAAAAAAGAAGGAATTGTAACTCAGTGAATGTTTGGTGAATGTAAGTACATTCCTCGTCAAGAAAACTCAGGACTACAAATTCGGTATGCTCTTAGGAAAAACCCGATGATGATGCCTCTTTTGGTCTTGGTATCTTGACTGGAATAGAAGTGTGTGAGATCATTTTTATTGGTGGGTTTCCGATAAACTTGAAATCTTAGGTTGTTGTCTACTTTGTGAATGAGGACGTCGAGGAAAGGTAGCTTGTCATTGGACTCTTCTTCTAGTGTAAACTAAAATCGCTGGTTCAACTGCGTTGAGCCTTGCCTGAAGATCCCGTACATCAAAACGTTTTGGAGTTATTACGAGGACATCGTCCACGTAACGTAACCAAGTGACGCTTGAAGGATGATGTTGGCGAAGTGTTCGGACTCTAGGTTCCTGTATATGAGAGTGAACACTGAAAAACCTGCCTCTTTCCCAGCCCTATATTTTGTCCAACCTATTTTTATGTTACCCAAGTAATAGCTTTATATCCTTTTACTCATGTACAAATTTAAAATTGCTCTCCATTTTTGTATTACTTTTGTCACTACCACTACTACTACTATTTACTACTATACTACCACTAGTGAACATCGAAATGGTACCTCACTAGTTTCACCTCACTCTGAGCCTTTATATACCCTCTGTGTCCATGTATTGTTTGTAATGGCTTGATAAAGCTCCTGGAGAGCGAAAACGTTGCCACAATAAATGTCACATTAGTTGCACTTGTGTCCTTTTACTTTAACATATTGTCGGTAATTCTACCAAACTTTATTACAAGAAGAGCGTTGCTATTTAAGCCAAAATCGGCAAGTTTTACCTATTCGGTACGACATATATATTGCATGGGAGAAACCATAATTAAGAGAAAGAAACTTTAACAGGTTGGAAGCCTTGCACGCTATAACCTCCAGCCGGAAATACAACTTAAGGCTCGATCTTCTTCTCAGCAATAACATTCCTGTTTACAACATCTGGCAGAACTTCAGAATCGGATCAGAGGACACCGGGTAAGTGTGTACAACTTGCAGGAAGTGCGCGCTATATCACATCAAAAGTTTAAACGTTTGCACCCCCATTTTCCCTACCTTTTCAATCTTCATCATTTTTTTCCTGTCATACGAAAACCCCACCTGCTTAACGTTCGGCCAGGTTCACTCTTCGTGCTCTATAAAAGCTTTTAAAAAAGCGGTCCAAACAAACAAATCCCTGGTTTAAGTTATTATTTCCATAACATATAGTTTCCTGGAAAAATCGGGTTTTTTTATATATTCAAGAACACTATGTTTCCTGCTAGCAATTAAGCTTAGTTAGTATTTTTATTTCATATATTTTGCTTACAAACGAAAACCACACACACACAAAATTTATATATAAATATATAAATATTATATATAATTATATAAAAAAATTTTATAATAAAATATAAATTATATTATATAATATATAATATATATATGCCACAGTGGATATGCACAAACCCAAAAATTAAAAACGATAATTTTCCCTTAGTAATGAAAATACCCGTCTAGTTGTCAGATTTCCCTAAAATAAAAGTGACATCCTATCTATGCTGAAAACATTGGTTGTGCATACTATTATTAGTATTATATTATTTTTAATGGGAAAACAACCTAAAGACATACAGTTCCAGGGGATGTGACCTCTAATTCCATGGGGAATAAGGGTCATAGGTTCAAATCCAAAAAGGGACGGAGCTCCTTTTTCCTTGTATCAAAACCGTTCCTGGAACAAAGCCCCTCCCCCTCCCATCATAAGTTTTAACTGCCTAATATTCTACGATAACAAAAAAAGTGTTTTTCCCCCAAAAATATCTTTTTGCGTTGGCGCCCCTTTCGAAACCCTGATGATACTATGTCCAGGGGAGGGACTTGTTATTTTGGGTAGGTGTTGTTTGTGCATTGCCTTGTGTGGGAGCCATTGCTTGATGTCGTTTTTGGCTTTTTGTAGTGTTTTGTAGTTGTTTGTTGTGTTGTTTGTTTATGTTTGGGTGAGTGAAACTCCAAGGGAGTATCATTGAGACAAAAACTTTGGTAATCTTAGCTATAGGTTGAACGGATAATTGAGAGAGTGAGAGTTGGACCTACCTAGCATGGACCAATAAGCCTGATGGTGTTCGTTCTTGTGTCCTGTGTGGTTGTGATGGGGTAGTTGGTAAGGTTGTGATATCTCGGTTGTTGCTGGTTATAGTTGTTGGTGTAGCACTTGTTTTTCTGATGTGGTAGTTGTTCTTGTGGTATGGTAGTTGTTCGTGTGGTGTGGTAGTTGTTCGTGTGGTTTTGATGTTGTAGTAGCTTGTATGAGTGTGATGTGGTGGTAGTTATGGTGTGCTATGGTATCTGGTATTTTGGTGTAGCTGTGTTGCTGTGGTGCTGTAGTTGTTTTTGTGATGTAGTAGGTGTGGTGGTGGTTTCAGATGCAGTAGCTGTTGTGGTGTGGGTAGTTGTGAGTTGGTACTTGTGGTGTGGTAGTTGTGGTGCGATAGTTATTGTGTGGTAGTTTGTGTTTTAGTTGTTTATGTGGTTGTGGCCCTGTGGTGTGGTAGTTGCTAGTCAGCATGGTAATCTTGGTTGTATGGTAATCTGCATGAATCTGTTACCACTACATCTTTAAATCAACACCCCAACAGTCCAATAACGTTTGATGGACTTCATGGGATAAAAAACAGGCCCAGTGAACCCGGGGTATGACGATATTAATTGAAAAAATACAGGAGTATTACCGTGGATTCTTTTGTTGTTGTTGCCGACTAAGTGGGGGCAAGCACCTGGTATGCAAACTGTCATCCCACTGGAAGCAGAATGAGCAGTTGGCCAGGAGTTAGCACGCAACTACAGTCACTGGAGATGGGGGTAGATAGTTTTGGAATTTGAAGAGTACCGTGACCGTCAAAACTATATCTAACACTCGAAAATAAGGAGAAAATTAACAGTGAAACACTGCATCACACAACGCAAATAAAATACTGTTATAACCAAGTTAAAATAACCAGTACGGGTATGGAGTGAGATGGAGGTTGATGAACAAACTGTCAGTCCACTCACCTTGCTTATTCAGTGCCCATTATACTAGGAAAATTTTAACTTTTTCTAGATATTTATTGTGTAACCTGTGAACTAGGCCTCCAGGTTTGTGCCGGAAATTGCCATGAATAAATAGTACTTCAGTCCTTGTGCACATGCCAATAACAACAACCTAACTGCTTGTGATACCTCCCTCAGCAACTGCCTCACATACGCCAATGGACGCTCCTTCTCCACCTACGACGTGGATGAGGACGTTTACTCAGGTGAGTACATTGTCTAATTTTTTTATTAATTTTCATTTTACAAGCTGCTCATCGTAATTCATCTCAAAGCCAGAAGACTGCAATAACTATATTTCAGTTGTTTCGTAATAAAGAAATGATAGATAACATGATATGATACCAGGTCTGAGGTTGGACATTAAAGTGTAGCATTTCCGTGAAATATATCATTCCGTGTAGTATGATACAATTTTCATGAGGTATGATATAATTTCTGCGAGGTATATTTTTCTTGAGGTGTATCACTTTTGTAAGTACATGTATCATTTCCCTAAAGTATATCATTTCCTAGGGTATGATACAGTTTTCCTTGAGATAAGATATTTCCGTGAAGCCTTATGTCATTTTCGCGAAGTATATATACATACCCTTTTATCGAAAACGCTGCTTTTATGTCAGTTCAGCTTCGATGGATGTAAATTATAAACAATTTAATTTTGCACCGCAGGAAATTGTGCTGCCCTCCGTGGTGGCGGGTGGTGGTACTACGATTGTCAACAGTTCAATCCAACCAACAGCGGTGGTGATAATGCAGGAGAAACAGGTTTCAATATATCCTGCCTCAACCGTGACATCCTCTCGCTGGACGGTCTTCAGCTCAAGGTGCGCCCCACCGTTTGCAGCGACAAGGTCAAGTCCGTCTACCTTAACACATACCAGGCAGGAAACTGTGGCCAGTTCTCAGTGGGACCCTAAATCATAACTAGTAAGAACCTGCTGCACCGGCCACTAGCAGATGGTAAGAGATACCCGCCTGTTACATGGCAGACACCATGACATCTGCAGCACTTGTATATTCAACAGCTATAAACATCTGCTTCATTTGTCTCCAACTCCTTACAAGAGAATAGGGTATCTGCTACATCTGCCCCTTCTAGACAGTTGGATATCTTGAAAATGGTATAAAATACCAACAAATTGATGAGTAAGACACGAACAACAGTTAGATATCTTTACTATCCATTCTGTGTTTTACTGAAGAAGTCTACCGCGTAGGGCCGAGGCGAATCGTTTCAACACTCAAGATACCCAACTGTTGTGCATGTCGCTGTATAGCCCATGTGGCTTAGCGCTTCTTTTTGATAATAATAATAATAATGTGCATGTCTTACTCATCATTTAGACATCTGCTACACCTGTCTCCCGCATGTATACATGTCTCCTTTGCTACGGCTAGAGTCATCTGTTTCACCGGTCCCTTGCTCGGAGCTAGTAATAATAATAATAATTATATAGCAATTGTAGATGATATTAACTATTTCAATACCTTAAAAATATATTCACAATAAAATAATTTTAAACCCGTCACAGTACTTAAATTTTGCCTTAACAGTGAATTTATTGGGCAGTGACACTTCTAAGTTTTATTCCTACTGTGATTAAACATACACCAATAAAGATAAGTATTCTCTAGTATTTTTATTTGATATGGCCAAACGTGTACTAGAACCCTAACAATTATTATCAGTTTGCTGCTGTTTTAAGGTAGCTAGCCAATAGCTTACTGTTGTAGTAACTAATTTATGGTCATATTACAAATATCAATCACAATACAGTCACACTTTACGTATAATTCGTTCCAAATCATAAGTCATAAATCACAGCAACTTTTCAATCAATCAATTTTCATTTCCTTGCAAGATTATATTGAGATTATGAAATTGCAAAAATGAATTGCGGTGCAAAGAGCCACTATCATACCTAGGCATTATGGGCAGACTTAATTTAAAGGCTTACAGACTACTTAATACTAAAGAAATTGAACATAGTTTAAGTTTTACATCTTGTTTATTTATAGTACACAGAAATTTTACTCAAATTACAGTAGTTGCAATGGTAAATATTGAAATTATATTATGGAAATATAACACTGTGAGATGTTGAAAGCAGTTTACAGTATGAGAATGCTACAATTGGGTGTAAAGCAGTAATGTTTTGGGTAGGTATTTATACTACAAAGTAGTTTTAATCAATGTATGAACTTTGGGCGTCATGTTTTAAGTTTTAAAATTTAGGTAATTGAGAGATTTTTTGGTTAAGTTAAATATTGAGTTTTGACAAAAAGAGAAATTTCCCCACTATTTAGGCCGGGATAAAGGGTTACAGAGTTAAATCATTAAAACACCAGTGGAAATATCTTTTTTTTTTTTTTAAGGGAGAGGCACTTCCCTTTGCCACTAATCCTGAGTTAACATAGTGCCATCATAAATAGTGTTGGACAAGGCCGGGCAGAAACGTAGACTTTATAGAGGTATCTCCATGAAGGCAACTTTTCAGTCCGACAAGTACTAAACCCGTATGGATCATACAGTTAAATAACAATAATAAATTCGTATCCCTCTCTCCCTGAACGTTTACGAAACTAGTGATATTTTTGTATATTATGCAGGTGAACTGAAGCTTTTATTATTAAATCATAGGGAAGCACTAAACCCGTAGGGGTCATAAAACCCTTGGGGAATAGCAATTAATCAGGCTTAATCTCAGGAAAATAAAAGAGAATTGCTCCAGATACTCTGACCAAGAGCCCTTCACCAGCATTAAGTCACCCCTCTGAATGGACTGCAGCCCTAAATGTAAGGAAATAACTACTCTGCCTCGTTAATTTGCTAGGATTGAAGCGTTCCACTTATTTATTTTATATATTAGAAATATTTTTACACATTTTTTTGGCTGCCATGATCTCTGACATTTTGCAAGAACTGTGTTCACCTAAGAGGCGTAAGTTCCCCTGTCTTCTAATAACATGTTCATTTTTCCCACTATAATCTACCTTGTACTTAATTACTATCACATTTGCTTTGTTTCGTAAGGTAAAGTCCAGGATCTTTCCTTAATTCATGGTATAACTTAACAAATCTTTGAGGACAATTGTGTTACAGAGGTCTGAGCGTTGTTCTCCTTGCAAAAATAATAATAATAATAATAATAAAAATAAAATAAAATAATAATATTTTATTTTACAATACAATACAAAATTACAGGCCTAGCTGACATCAATGACAACTACTAATGAAAACCCCTTATTATGCAGAGATTTCAACGAATAGATAAATTTTGCCCCCGGGATCAACCCACCCATTGACAAAACCCCCAGGTACCCTTTTTATGCTAGATGAACAGGGACAGCAGGTGTCTTAAAGAACAAGTCCTAATGTTTACACCCGTAGGGGGGATCGAACCACAACCTCATGTGGAGTGAGTGGCCTAGCGACGAGCTAGGGGACATTTAAAAACTTCATTTAGTCCTTTGAAAGGATCATGTATGTCATTTTTCTACATCAGTGTGATTTACTAGATGATCATTGATGTCACTGGCCTGAATATTTTGTTTATTATTATAGAAATAAAAGCTATTATTATTATTATTATTTTTATTATTATATTATTATTATTTTTATTATTTTTATTTATTTTTATTATTACCTTTCTCTTCTCGAGGTGGGGGCCCATCAGTTCTAGAGTTGGTACCCCCATGTGTTTGTTAGACTGTTCCTGATTGAAAGGGTTTTTGGCGGGTGTTATTTATTATTTTATTTATTTTTTTTTACTTAAAAATTTTGAACATCATACAGAGGTAAAAAAAAAATACGGTAAGGCAGCATCCCAAAGCCACTTTAGCATAGCATTACGGGCTGGCAAAAAATTAACTTAAGTTTAAACAAAGCAAGATTAATCATAAATAAAACATTAATGTAAACAGATAACTAAAAGCACAAATGAGTTTTACAAAGACAGGCATAGGGTTTTGCATGCATTGCTGTTCATTCAGTAAATGGGATTCTGTTAGGTAGTGTATTAAAACTAACAAATTGATTGGGCTTAGGTTTAAATTTTATGTATATAATTGTGAGAAATTTAAGATATACAATTTATAAGGTTCAGTTTTCAGTATGTATTTGGTTTTGGGGGGTAAGTGATCTTGAGAAGAGACTTTAATTTATAAACGGTATTTTCTTTTATATTTACAGAACACAGAGAGTAGTCCTCAACAGGTAAAGTCCCAGGGAGCAACGGGGAAAACCTGTTTCCCAACCCCCCAAAGGGAAAGGGTTCCCCGATGTTGGTGGGGGCCTTTATTTTTGGGGAAATTGGGTCGTGCCCAGTTTCCCCAATTAAAACCCGAATGCCTTCCACTCCCCCCCCGGGGGCTGTATAATCCTCCGGGTTTAGCGCTCCCCCTTATTAAAAATAAATCTGTTCCAAAGGCACAGTACTAGCTCCCCTCTTGTTCCTCTCCTCATATCCCCACATAGACAAGGGGTGGCCACGCACCGGCTTCCTTTGCAGATGACACCCGAATCGCATGACATGCTTCCATTGCAGACACGCAAGGCCCAGGGGACTCAACCAAATCTTTCAGTGGGGTGCAGAAAAAAAAATAGAAATTTTAACGATGAAAATTTCAATTTCTCAGAAGGTAACGAGGAAATTAAATCTTCTCAGAGTACAAAACAAATTCTGGCCACAAAATAGAGCGAAACACCAACGTCAAAGCCCTTTGGGAGTGATCATGTGGAGGATCTCACCTTCAAGGACCATAACATTGTATCAATCGCATCTGCTAGAAAAATGACAGGATGGATAATGAAAAACCTTCAAAACTAGGGAGGCCAAGCCATGATGACACTCTTCAGGTCACTTGTTCTATCTGGGCTGGATATTGCTGCACTCAAACAGCACCTTTCAAGGCAGGTGAAATTGCCGACCTAGAAAAGTACAGAGAATTTTCCCACGGCGCGCATAACGGAGATAAAACACCTCAATTACTGGGAGCGCTTGGGGTTTTCAAAACCTGTATTCCCTGGAACGCAGGAGGGGAGATACATGATTATATACACCTGGAAAACCTAGGGGGACTAGACCGAACTTGCCACGAAAATCACTCACTACGAAAGCAAAAGACTTGGCAGACGATGCACCATCCCCCCAATGAAAAGCGGGGGTTTTCACTAGCACGTTAAGAGACCATACAATAAGTTTTCAGGGGCCCGAGACTGTCAACTGCCCTCCCAGCACACATAAGGGGGATTCCCAACAGACCCCTGGCAGTCTTCAAGCTGGCACTGGACAAGCACCTAAAGTCAGTTCCTGATCAGCCGGGCTGTGGCTCGTACGTTGGTTTGCGTGCAGCCAGCAGCAACAGCCTGGTTGATCAGGCGCTGATCCACCAGGAGGCCTGGTCACAGACCGGGCCGCGGGGGCGTTGACCCCCGAAACTCTCTCCAGGTAAACTCCAGGTAAACAGGTAATGAATTCCAGATTTTAGGGCCTTTTATGTGCATTGAGTTTTTGCATAGCGTGAGATGGACACGAGGAACATCAAAGAGTGATCTGTGCCTTGTGTTATGGTCATGTGTTCTGTTGAGGTTGGCAAGATGTTTGAGTGGAGGGTTAATATCAGAGTTAAGTTTTCTATGTATGTAATAAGTGCAGTAATAAGTACTGAGGTGTCAGCCTTGGTATATATATTCCCAGACTTGTATATCTCAGAATTATATATATATATTTTATATATATATATATATAATATATATATATATATATATATATATATATAAAATATAAATATTTTATATATTATATAGTTTTAAAAATGAGAGCTTTATGAGGATAGTGAGGCTCAGGTTAGGGTGTGTAGAAGAGAGGGAGAATACTTCCCGGTAAAAGAGGACTTAGACAGGGATGTGTAATGTCACCATGGTTGTTTAATATATTTATAGATGGGGTTGTTTAAAAAAAGTAAATGCTAGGGTGTTCGGGAGAGGGGTAGGATTAAATTATGGGGGGAATCAATTCAAAATGGGAATTGACACAGTTACTTTTTGCTGATGATACTGTGCTTATGGGAGATTCTAAAGAAAAATTGCAAAGGTTAGGGATGAGTTTGAGGAATGGGGTGTAAAGGTAAAAAGTTGAAAGTGAACATAGAAAGAGAAAGGTGATGAGGGTATCAAATGATTTAGATAAAGAAAAATGGATATAAAATTGGGGAGGAGGAGTATGAAAAGTGAATGTTTTCAGATACTTGGGATTGACGTGTCGGCGGATGGATTTATGAAGGATGAGGCTAATCATAGAATTGATGAGGGAAAAAAGGTGAGTGGTGCGTTGAGGTATATGTGGAGTCAAAAAACGTTATCTATGGAGGCAAAGAAGGGAATGTATGAAAGTATAGTAGTACCAACACTCTTATATGGATAAGAAGCTTGGGTGGTAAATGCAGCAGCGAGGAGACGGTTGGAGGCAGTGGAGATGCCCTGTCAAGGGCAATGTGTGGTGTAATATATTATGCAAAAAAATTCGGAGTGTGGAAATTAGGAGAAGGTATGGAGTTAATAAAAGCATTAGTCAGAGGGCAGAAGAGGGGTTGTTGAGGTGGATCAAAGTAGAATGACATGGAAAGCAT